ACACACACTCCACCCCACCCCCCACACACACACCCCACACACCCTTGGGGAGCCTCGCCGGCTCCCTGGAAGCCGCAGCCTAGAGACTAATAAAATAGCCCACACTAGCCCCACCTCTCCCACGGACTGCCCAGGCCCCGCCCCTCACCTGGATTCAGCTGCAGACTGTATTTGTCCTCAAGGCCCTCCCTGGCGATGGTGATCACGAGCTCTCGCAGGAAATCGCTGTTCTAGGAGACAAGGGGAAGCGGGGCTGCAGCAGGGTTCGGGGGTAAAGGGAGAGGCCCCTGCCCAGGCCTCACCCACAGCCACGCCCCCAACCTGCATCCTCCGGTAGAAGTCGCTGTTGACAGCTACGTCGTAGGCGGTACAACCCTGGCCTTCTGTGAGGAGAGAAAGGGGGTGAGGGCCCCAGCCCTCCGGGGCAACCCCACCGCTCAAACACAGGCAAGGAGAAAACAATAAAGGATAGCTGCCACAAGAACCAGAGAGACCCAGGGACGATTAAGAAGTGAACACTCAAGACCCCCACTTGCCAGTCTGGATTCATAACCGCCTCCGGTCTCTTTCCCTCTGGTCCTTTCCCCACTATGTCCCAGAGCTGACCCCTCCTCTCCCCTGCTCACAGCCTTCCCATCGCTCCCTAGCACACCTTAGGCAAAGGTCTGAGTACTTCAGTCTGGTACTGGAGGCCCTGTGTGGTGTGCCCCTCCCACCTGGAGAGAAAAGAAAGCTCACTTCCATAGCGACCTGCTCCCTGTAAATTTCTTCCATCTCTCTCAGTTACTGACCAATCTAGTTCAATCATTCTTTCTGGCCTCTGAAGACCTCTGTCCTCTCTGCCCAGAACCCTCCTCTCTATCTTGGCCTGATGAACTCCAGTTCCTTCTAGTCTTACATCTGACATCTCCTCCTCCAGGAAGCCTTCCTTGACCCTTGGAGTGGGCAAAGAGCCCCCTCCAGTGCAGCAAGAATCACACAATATTGAAATAGAAGGTTCTGGGTTTGATAAGTTTCTACTCCCCAGTGCACCACCCAAAGCTTGGTCCCAGGAGGCTTTAAGGGGCATATGTGAATTGAAAACACATGGATAATACAGAAATACAATAGAGACAGAAATGCAACAGAGATAGAGGTGAGACAGGGCAGAGGGACAGAGACATGGAAGAGGGCGAAGGAGAAAACAAGGATGAGTGAGAGCTGGCCCAGGACTCGAGCCAGAAGATCAGCTAAGGAAGCACCTGCCCAGCCCACCCTCACCCTGGGGTGGGGCAAAGAGAAGTGCCTGCCTGGCCAGGTGGGCAGAACCAGGACTGCCCTATATGGCTGGTGCTGAAGGCCCAGGAGGCTAGGGACATGCCACAGGGAAAAAGGATCTGGCCAGGGGACCCAAATTTCTCGGTCCTGCAGGAGGAGAGTCCTGGGCCCTGGATTCTGGGATCCTACGGAAGAAAGGATGCAGGGGGCCAGTCCTGGGTCCCCTGAGGGCACTGACTTGCATCGAGTTCGGCGTGAGGCTCTCCCAGGCTCATGGGGATGCGAAACCCAGCTTGGTCCTCCTCTAGCATCTGAAGCAGCTCATCCTCGGTCACGTCAGCCGGAGGAGGGATGGAGGGAGAGTGACAGATGTTGATGAAAACCTTCCCTCCGGATGAGTTGGTCTTTATGCAGAAGCCTGGTGGGAATGGGTTGGTCCTGACCATCTCTCTCCACGTGGGTCTTGAGTTCCATCCACCCTCTCCTCAGCTGCCCTCCTTTTGATCTGTCCCCCTCTGAGTCTCAGTTCTCCACTTTCTGGTCCTGTTCCCCTCCCCACCCCTGGGACCTCTGACTATCCTGGAGTCTGTCTCCCTAGTCACTCCTGTCCCCTCCTCTTTGGATCTCCCTCTGGGTCTCTGTTCACTTCTCTACCTAGGCCTCTAAACCCCCTTATTGTGTGTCTTTCCTCCCTCCTCTGTGTCCCCTGCCCCCAGTCTCTCTCCATCTCTCTCTGGGAATCTCTCTCACTCTCTTTGGGTTTCTGCCTTCCTCACCAGGTTGAGGTTGGATCTGTGTTGATTCTGGTCTGCTTGTCTGGGCTTGCTGGAGCTCCTTGGAGGCCTGTGTGAAGGGAAATGACTTCCAGGCTTGGCATCTGTGCTATCAGACCCCTCATTGGTTCCTCGAAAGTTTATTGAGCAATATTTATAGATATGAGCCATGCAGGAAATAAGACATATTATGTCCCTTTTGTCCTTTGAGGAATCCAAAGAACAACCCCAATCCTACTCCCATTTATCCCAGAGCTTAGCAAACTTGGAGTTAACCAACTACAATTCCCATAGGCCCTGTTGCCTCCATAGTGCATTCTGGGAACTGTAATCCCATCTCTGAAGAAAAAGAAAAAAAGTCCCCCAAATACCCAGGGGCACAGGAGTCCTGGTGAGTCCGCACCTGCAGCAGCAGCTCCTGGAAACGCGCGGTCTCGGCGCCCATTGCCTCTGCTTCGTCTAGCTCCGGCACCAGCAGTTTCAAGTCCGCCATGGCCCTGGGGAAGAGACCTAGGCGTCCCCAGCAACCCCGACGTGGGGGAACCTTTGCTGGGATCTGAACTCTGGGGTCTGCTTCCCGGGCCCTCAACAGATTCCGACACCCACTATTGTATATGAAAATCTAAGAATCTGGCTGGAGGCTACAATTCCACTCAGGTCAGACACCGTCGTCAGATCTGTTGGGAGTCAATATCTCTAGATGCTCTCTAGGTCCTACGTGCCAAATGTGTAAATAATGGCCACTCTTCCCGTCTCTAACCAGAAATTTGAGCAGGCCACACTTCCGACAACCTGCCCCCGTCCGTTACTGACCAATCAGAATCTACGTATGAGGCCACGCCTTTCACCTGAACCAATCAAAATCAAATTCTGAGGCTGAGCACTCAACGCCACACTTCCGCTCTCGATTAGAATCACACTTCCTCTCCTTCCGGATAACCACGTCGGGCCCCGTGGCGGGACAGTCAAGTCGGCACGCTATCAATACCTTAATTGCAGTGTCCGTCTTAAAAGACTCCCTGCTGATCTCTGAACTGTTCGATTCTCTAGCAAATGTATTTCGGACAGAAAGCTGCACTTTTGTGAAAAGGGTGGTGGAAAGAAACACCAATACGCCCCCCCTTCTAAATCTGGAACTCTCCTGTTTGCAAGACACCCACATATTTTCTGCTCCTGTCTCACCCTTCCCCTTTGAGGACTGCGCATGCTCCAAACTTCCCGCCCCCCCACCCCGTGGGCGGGGTCACCGGGTCCTAAGGTTGGGTTAGGCTCTATCTCCCAAAGCCCGCCCTTTGCGCTCCAGGGGGCGGTCCCGCCCTTCGGACCTCGACGTTCCCTTGGGCAGAGCGCCCAGCAGTCGGTGGAAAGCAGTCTGGACGAGTGATGGCTGCCACGCGCGCAGAGCCCCGCGCCCGAGAGATCTTCGCCACGCTGGAGTACGGACCCGTGCCCGAGAGCCACGCATGCGCACTGGTGAGGACCTGTCGGGCCGGCGCTGCCCCTCCCCTCCCCCGTCGCCGGGCTGGGTTCCGCGCGGGGACTCCCGTGATCCACCGCGGCGGTTGCGCGACTCCTCCCCTTTCTGCTGCGGTCGTTCGGGCCGCCCCTTGGACGGGCTCCCGGAGGTCGTCCCCGGAGCCTTGGCAATGGCCGCCTCCTGGTCCCTAGCAGTTCTCGTGCTCCGCGGCCCGAGTTCGCGGTGGTGCCTCCCCGGGTCCTCAGGCTCGCCCCACCCCCGAGGGGTGGCAGTGAGTCTTCAGAGCCCCATCAATCTTCCGTGGTCCCCTCACCCCCACCCCTCGGAGCTCAGAATTCCTGTGGGGCGCCCATGATCGTCCACGGAACCCCTGAAACCCCGTGGACGTCCCAGGATTCCTCAGGGCCCCTTCTGTACTTGGGTGGCTTCTATGATCTCGGGAGCTCTCAGAACTCCAGAATACATCAGGACTTATAATTACCTGCAACCCCTCAGAATGGCCCAAGGGGCCCCCAGGCTCCTCGGCCTCTTAGCGTCCTGCTGCTCTCCCGTGCCCTTCGGTGTTCAGGAATTCCCTAGGGCTCCTGTGATCCCTCGGGGTCTCCCAGAACGTTTTGGGGGTTCCTGTAGATAAGTAAGGTGCCTCAGAATTCCCCCACAGGGCTATGGTCATCTCGCAGGGTCCTCTAGCACCCAAGGGTGAGGAACTTGGGCTTTTCTTGAGGGAGAGGGGAAAGATGAGACCAGAGCCTGCGAAGGCTGCGTGGATGGAAAGGAGGGATGAGGCCCCCATGCAGGAGGAACAGGGTCTGGGGAATTGAGAGGGCAAGGACAATACTTGGGGCCTGGCCCTGCCTGCCTACCCCTCACCCCCATGGTGAACGCTGGAGGAGCAGGGTTTGGGGAAAGGTGCTGAGCTGAGTTATATGTTTAATGTGTGAGGGACCTGGGGACGGGCTTCAAATACCACTTTGAGCCTCAGGTCTGGAGACAGGGAGGCACCAATGTAGGAAGATAATTGAACCGTGGGAGTGACAAGATTATCTAGAAATATGTGTAAACTCAGATAAAAGGAACTGGGATGACATACAGAGAATTCCCACACTTGGAGGTTAGAAGTGGAATATCCTGAAATAGCAGTGTAATGAAAGCTTATATTTATTGGAGGCTTTCAATATGTCACCCTCTGCTCAACACAATGGCGTTGAACCCCCCAGAACCACTGGGGGAAGGGATTACCGTCATTATTTTAGTGATCACGCACAGGCTTGAAGAGGTACGCAATGTGCCCATGGACCACACAGCTTGAAAGAGGAAGCTGAGATTTGAACCTGAGCCCTCGGATTCCAGAGCTTGTGGTGCCCCACCTCTCCCCAAGCCAAGGTCTCAACCTTATAGTCTGTTGGCCATACTCAGACAACAAACATGTTTTCTTTGGCCTAAACTTTATTCGAGAAAATGTGAATGGACAGCTAATTCCATGTAAACATCCGGGATTCCAGCTTCTCTTGAAACTAAAATCCGAAAATTTGGCAACCTTTGGCTCACGTTTCCTGACAAAAGTCATCTGGATCCATTAGCGACAATTGATCTCATTACACAAGTGGTGGGTTCCCAGTCTCCACCAGGCTCTCATCTCACACTGACCTAGTCTGCCAGGACCATGTGGACATTCTTTTCGGTTTTGTTTTTCTTTGAGGGGAAATTTGCAAAATTCCACAGAGTACTTAATATTATGAACTCTCATGCCCCATCACGCAGCTTCAGCAATGATCAGCATTTGGTCCAGTGTTGTCTCCCTCCGTGTTCTCTTTTTCTGGAGCGATTTAAATCCCAGATGTCATGTTATTTTCCCATAAATATTTCACTCCTCATTTCTAACACATAAGGACTCATTATGTAACAACATAACCACCCTGCCATTTTCACACCTAACGTTAACAGTTATTCTTTAATGTCATCTAATGCCCAGCTCCTGTTTGGATATCCTCAACTGTTTCAAAAATGTCTCTTTCCCTGGGGCGGGGGTTTGAATAGAAACTTCTTTTTTTTTAAATATGTATTTTTTTTAAATATGTCTTCAGAGAGAGGGAGGGGGAGAGAGAGAGACAGAAACATCAGTGATGAGAGAGTCATTGATCGGCTGCCTCCTGCACTCCCCCTGCTGGGGATCGAGCCCGCAACCCCGAGCATGTGCCCTGACCGGGAATCGAACCTCGATCTCCTGGTTCCTAGGTCAATGCTCAACCGTTGAACCACACCGGCCAGGTGAATTAGGAATTTTTGATTGACCATTTGACTTTAAAGAAAAATGAGAAGGACCAATTGGCAGGGGAAGAGAAAAATCAGTAGACAGTGGCATCGGGGGTGCTAAGAGAGTTTGTAGAAGGAAAAAAGGGGCATTGTGTCTTGGATTTAGCAAGGATTTGGGGAAGTCAGGACCAGGGGCAGAAAGAAACGTGAAGCCGACGTGGAGGGTGAGCTGCAATAAAATTAGTAGAAAGTCTTAAGTGCTGCCCTGAATACCTAACACACGTGATTCATTTAATCCCTACCACAGCTTTGTGAGGTGAGGGGACTGTCATTAGCCTCACCTTCCAGATGCCTGCTTAGCAGAGGCCCCGGTATTATAAGATCCGGCGAAGGTTGCACAATGAGTAAATACCAGGGCCAGAATTCAAACCCTGGCCGTGTGGCCCCTCGCTCCAGGGTCCCCACAGGAGGCTGCCCCTCTGCAAAGCCCATGTGCTATGCCTTAGGCTCAGTTAGACTTGTCACAGCAAAATAAACTGCACCATCCAGACTGTCTTTGAGGGGGTCCATGTCCCTCCCCAAGTGATGGCAGCTGAGATGGGAGGGAAGGCAGGAGCCACCTGGCTTAGAAGTCACACGGTCTCATGGGCATTGCTTCCAGGGCCCTGGCAAGGGTCACAGGTGTGCAAACAAAAACTTGTACATTTCTACCAGCATGATTCACAATAGCCAAAGAGCAGAAAGGACCCAAATACTCATCAACTGATGAATGGATAAACAAAATGTGGTCTGTGCAGATAATGAGGATCATACAGCCATCAAAAGAAATGAAGTGTCCATAACAGGCTATGGCATGGATGGACCTCGAAAACACCATGCCAAGAATAAGAAAAAGAAAAGAAAACTCTGTGCCAAGTGAAAGAAGCCAGCCATGTATTGTAGGGTTCCATTTACGTGAAATTCCCACAGCAGGCAAATCCAGGAGACAGCAGATTATTAGTTACCAGGTGTTGGGCGCAATGGGGAAGGGAGAGTGACTGCTTAATGGCTACGGGGTTATCTGTTGGGGTTGATGAAATGTTCTGGAATTAGATAAAAGTGATGGTTGCACAACATTGTGAATGTACTAAATGCCACTGAATGTACACTTTAAAATGGTGGACTTATATTGTGTGTGTGTGTTTGGTTTTTTTTTTCAATGTCTTTATTGATTTCAGAGAGGAAGGGAGAGGGAGAGAGAGAAACATCAATGATGAGAGAGTCATTGATCGGCTGCCTCCTGCACGCCCCCTACTGGGGATCGAGCCCGAAACCCAGGCATGTGCCCTGACCAGGAATCGAACCTCGATCTCCTGGATCATAGGTTGATGCTCAACAGCTAAGCCATGCTGGCCGGGCATGTTATGTGTTTCTTATGTTTATGTGTATTTTCCACCTACACAGGAAAAGAATTAGTTGATGAGGTGAAGGGAGGCAGGTGTCCCCCTCCCAGAGGACACTGGGTAGAGATTGAGCTCCTCCACCTGCCTCCCAGACTCCTTTCCAAATTCTCCCCCTCCCTCAGGCCTGGCTGGACACCCAGGACCGGTGCTTGGGTCACTATGTGAATGGAAAGTGGTTAAAGCCTGAAAACAGGAATTCAGTGCCTTGCCAGGATCCCATCACAGGTAGGAGGTGCCCCCAGTCATTAGGGGAGGGAGAGGCATCCATGCCCCCAGCCATACCCACCAAAGACACCCCATTCTCTCTATTCAGGTGGGGCCCTGAGGGCAGGGAGCAGCTGATGCAGGGAGGAGGCTGAGCTCTGGTTCCTCCTGATACTAATTATTCTAATTTGGTCCCAAGTCCCTGTGGATACTTTTCTAAGTCACTATCTACCAAAATCCCTTCCTTGCCTGTGGGAGGCAGTTGGAGCAATGAGCAATAGATTTATTCCCATTTGTCAGATGATAAACCTGAGACCCTCAGAAGGGTTGGGGACCAGCTTTACTGCCGGATCCCAGTTTCTGAAAATCTCAGCCCCCTCCAGTTTTGACACAGCCTCTCCCCTCTTTGGTCTGGGTTCCCCCCCATTTGTTCCCCAAGGAGAGAACTTGGCCAGTTGCCTCCAGGCACAGGCTGAGGATGTGGCCGCAGCCGCAGAGGCAGCCAGGACCGCGTTGGAGAGCTGGAGCGGACTCCCCGGAGCCTCTCGGGCCAAGCACCTGACCAGGTGATGCAGCTGAGGTCACCCCTGGGAGGGGGGAAGGACTTGAGAATAAAGACTAGTTCTCCACATCCCACTGATTTCATTGACCACTAAGGCTCATATTCCCAGCATGCCTTGGGGCCTTTAGTGGCTTTGACATCCATTTCCCACTATTCACTGGAACTAGTAAAAACAAAGCCTTTTTTCCCCAAAATATCCTTGGGGCTCATCGGGGCTCCATTTCTCAGCAGCTCAGTGGGGCTGGTGGAGCCTCTCAAAGCCCATTTTCCAGCACACTCCTGGGGCAGCTAGAGACAAAGATTCCATTTCCCAAAAATGTAATTGAGATTAGAGTTAAGCCCCAGCACCCCTGGGGGTACCGGTGGGCAAGCCTCAGGCTTTGTTTCCCGGACTTCATTTCCCATAAATCTCTAGTGTCCTCCACCCCTGGTAAGCGGTGGGGATGTCCCAGCGGTTCATGGGGATTAGGGTAGTCCAGGTATATGG